AACTAACATCATAATGCCAACTAACATCATAATGCCAACTAACATCATAATGCCAACTAACATCATAATGCCAACTAACATCATAATGCCAACTAACATCATAATGCCAACTAACATCATAATGCCAACTAACATCATAATGCCAACTAACATCATAATGCCAAAACTAACATCATAATGCCAACTAACATCATAATGCCAACTAACATCATAATGCCAAAACTAACATCATAATGCCAACTAACATCATAATGCCAACTAACATCATAATGCCAAAACTAACATCATAATGCCAACTAACATCATAATGCCAACTAACATCATAATGCCTAAACTAACATCATAATGTCAACTAACATCATAATGTCAACTAACATCATAATGCCAACTAACATCATAATGCGAACTAACATCATAATGCCAACTAACATCATAATGCCAACTAACATCATAATGCCAACTAACATCATAATGCCAACTAACATCATCATAATGCCAACTAACATCATAATGCCAACTAACATCATAATGCCAAAACTAACATCATAATGCCAACTAACATCATAATGTCAACTAACATCATAATGCCAAAACTAACATCATAATGCCAAAACTAACATCATAATGCCAACTAACATCATAATGCAACTAACATCATAATGCCAACTAACATCATAATGCCAACTAACATCATAATGCCAACTAACATCATAATGCCAACTAACATCATAATGCCAACTAACATCATAATGCCAACTAACATCATAATGCCAACTAACATCATAATGCCAACTAACATCATAATGCCAACTAACATCATAATGCCAACTAACATCATAATGCCAACTAACATCATAATGCCAACTAACATCATAATGCCAACTAACATCATAATGCCAACTAACATCATAATGCCAACTAACATCATAATGCCAACTAACATCATAATGCCAACTAACATCATAATGCCAACTAACATCATAATGCCAACTAACATCATAATGCCAACTAACATCATAATGTCAACTAACATCATAATGTCAACTAACATCATAATGCCAAAACTAACATCATAATGCCAACTAACATCATAATGCCAACTAACATCATAATGCCAAAACTAACATCATAATGCCAACTAACAACATCATAATGCCAACTAACATCATAATGCCAACTAACATCATAATGCCAACTAACATCATAATGCCAAAACTAACATCATAATGCCAACTAACATCATAATGCCAACTAACATCATAATGTCAACTAACATCATAATGCCAACTAACATCATAATGCCAACTAACATCATAATGCCTAAACTAACATCATAATGTCAACTAACATCATAATGTCAACTAACATCATAATGCCAACTAACATCATAATGCGAACTAACATCATAATGCCAACTAACATCATAATGCCAACTAACATCATAATGCCAACTAACATCATAATGCCAACTAACATCATAATGCCAAAACTAACATCATAATGCCAAAACTAGCATCATAATGCCTAAACTAACATCATAATGCCAAAACTAACATCACAACAATGCCAAAAGGCGAAACTAACATCATAAAAGGAAAACTAACATATTATGCCAAAACTAGTTAACATCATAAAAGGAAAACTAAGGCCCGGTTTAGATGGCGAACGTTTCATGCGCCGAACCTAATTGTCGTAGATACGGCAAAATATCGGAAACTGATTTAGACGTCGAACTTAATTGTGCCGTACCAAATTGCGAGGACACTATATTGGATATATTTACAATGCTAATATATGATAATCATATCATATGATGTTTAAAAGTAATTATGCATTAGGTTCGGCGCATGAAAAGCACGGTGTCTAAATCAATGTCGAACCTGTGTCGCATATACGACTTGTCTTGTCGCATCTTCGAGTCGTGTCGAACTTAATCAAAACCTGCCGAACTTAATTGATTTAGACGCCGCTCCAGCGTCGCACTTAATCCTTGCATTAGATTCGGCGCATGAAAAGTTCGCCGTCTAAACCTGGCCTAACATCATAATGCCAAAACTACCATCATAAAAGGAAAACTAACATCACAATGCCAAAACTAACATCATAAAAGGAAAACTAACATCATAAATCATAATGCCAAAACTAACATCATAAAAGGAAAACTAACATCACAATGCCAAAACTAACATCAAAAAAGGAAAACGAACATCATAAAAGGAAAACTAACATCATAATGCCAAAACTAACATCATAAAAGGAAAACTAACATCGCAATGCCAAAACTACCATCATAAAAGGAAAACTAACATCATAATGTCAAAATTACCATCATAAAAGGAAAACTAACATCACAATGCCACAACTACCATCATAAAAGGAAAACTAACATCATAATGCCAAAACTAACATCATAAAAGGAAAACTAACATCACAATGCCAAAACTAACATCATAAAAGGAAAACTAACATCATAATGCCACAACTACCATCATAAAAGGAAAACTAACATCACAATGCCAAAACTAACATCATAAAAGGAAAACTAACATCATAATGCCAAAACTACCATCATAAAAGGAAAACTAACATCACAATGCCAAAACTAACATCATAAAAGGAAAACTAACATCATAAAAGGAAAACTAACATCATAATGCCAAAACTACCATCATAAAAGGAAAACTAACATCACAATGCCAAAACTAACATCATAAAAGGAAAACTAACTACATAAATCCGAAGACAACAAAAGAGCTAAACACATCAGAATTAAAGATCATGCCTGTCAGATGTTGGGATCCCAGGCCTTAAAATATCTTTTCCAGGGCCGTCTGACAAAATGTCCGATGACGTCGAGTTTGGGTCGGACATATGTCCGATGACCTTCAGCCGGTTCAGTTTTGACTTGGAAATAAGTCTGAATGACACAAATGAATATCAGCACAATGTATTAATTCTGAACGGTCAATGTTGTGAAGATATTAAATATTAATTTGTTTTTTTCATACTTATTTCCAAGCCAAAATTAACTTGCTTGCCAGAACAGCAGTATTAAGAGGGCCCTGAAGGGGTAAAATGGGAACTGGGATTGACCTATATTTAGACTGGAAAAATGGGATTTGGGTTGCTGGGACTGGGATTTGCTCATTGGGAATGGGAAATGAAGTTCTCAAAAATGGGAATGGGATTGAGGTAATGCGAGTCGATTCCCAATTTTTCTGCGTTTTGAGTATTTTAAAATACAATTTTGATCCGTTAACTATATTATTCACAGCACTACCTGCGAACAGGCATACTCTGGCGCCCGGAATTCTGGGTTTTCTGATTAATGTGTGTCTCAGAATGCTGCAAATGCCATTTCCGGGATTCAAATTTTAAAATTTTCCGTGACTTCGGCACAAGCCCCCCTCTAATATTTCATAAAGTATCCGCCACTTGCTTAAAATGTCTTAAAACTGTTTATTCTACCGATAAATAAAGGGTTTTTTATTGACTGGGATTTCAATAACTGGGACTGGGATTTCTAATAAAAATCCAACTGGGACTGGGATTTTGCCAAAATTTCAGGTGGGAAATGGGATTGGGACCCCCCCTTCAGGACCCTCTATTAAAAAAAGACTTCAACAACTTAAGCCCGTTTTCCACTTCACCATTTCGCTCGCCACCCCGCTCTCGACTACGTTAAAACAATATCTCCAGCAGTTCACCTTCTATACAATAGTACTCTGATTTTCCATTTAACATACAAGCCTCTAGTCCTGGGGTGCATTTTGATTTACGTTGGACAAAGCTACAGTTCGGTCGGACACCAATACGCTTAGGTCGGACAAACAATAAACGTCAGTTTCACTTAGGTCGGACAGAATGTCCAGTGGTTTCCTCTCTACGTCGGACAATTTCACGAATGGGTCGGACAATGTCCGTGACCGACCGATATTTTAAGGCCTGGGGATCTTAGGTAGCAGCGCTACCTGCAAGTGCCTGAAGCTAACTGTAATCCTTGCTCAGAAGGTCTTAATGCATACTTAAAGTAAAGTAGAAAATTTCAATTTTTCCGAATACATTTTGCAATATTTACTGACCAGATTAATAAGAGTCGCACTCAATACGTAAATTCATCAAATGATGCCATCAAAAACTTAAAATTTCTTGTTCTGTGATCGAATTTCATTTATCAGCCGACAATCTTGTCGACCGGATATATGATAATTTTCGAGCAATTGGGTTTGAGCAAATTAGCGGACACTCAATTTTGACCGGCAATACGAAACATAACTCAAAAAATTCTTCGGTACCTGGTCCCCTGTCGCAATTTGCAAGCTTCAAGCGAAGCGGGCAAGTTTGTACCACACATAGCTAACTGCAAATTTTTTTTGGCTACCTGCAAAAATACTAAATATATAGGCATGCTAAAGATAAACTTCAAGATATAGAATAATCGCATCATATATCAAAAGTGAATTTTGTCTTTCATGACACTCCATAGCCTTAAGACTGTGAAGCTCCTAGGGACCACTTCTTAAGCGTGGAAGATGAATATTTAACAGTCAATATACTGGGTTTTAAAGTAGTGTGAATATGAATATTGATGTTAGGAATATGAATATTGGGGCAGGAATATGGAATATTGGGGCAGGAATATGGAATATTAAAAGTAGAAACAAAAATTGGAACAACAATTGGAATGAATATCCCTGCCCTCGCCCACCCCACCTCAATTTTAAAGTGGAGTACTGTCCTTGGTATATGGAACTATACCATATTTACACATACCCGGATAAAAACATAAGGTGCAATGATACTGCCTTCCTTCATTTTCACAACCAAACTTGTTTCAACAGCAAGAACATTGCCTTTGGAGTCAATTCTAATAAAAATGTGATTCAAACTGTCAGTCAAACAATTTTACTACTCAAATGAAGATCTTGGACAATAATGAGTTTCCCATCATTAAGTTGTAATACATAGAGCTTGGAATTTGAAACAGCCATTTAAAATGTGGTATCCGCCCAGACAATCTAGTATATCCCATGCACCCTTAGGTATATATAGATATTCTAGTAAACAGTACAGTATATGCCAGTCTCCAAACATTGAAACAATTAGGCATAACAATTAAACATATTTATGGGCTGTTATTGTTTACAAGTGGTGTTTTAGTGATCAAAGCCTGTGTTGAAACTTCTGGTCCTCTGACCTTTGACAAGGAGAGACCTTTTTTTAGTATCCCAATGGATATATCATATGTCCAAAATATTTAAAAACTGATGTTTCATTATTATTTAGAGATGACGGACACTTGGGCATTAATGGATAGAATGCTCTTCACCTTTCTACCTGAATGAAAGCCAACAAGAAAGAGGAACAATAATAATTCAAATATTACCTGGACAAAAGTGATCCTGTCCACTGATTCATTGACTTTATATCTTTGAAAGGAAACTGAAATGAAATGTTTTTATTTCAATGAATGATATAAAGAGTAAACATAATGCATTATTATAAATGCAATCATTATAAATGATTTAAATTTGGGAAAATCTGTAGGGATGCACCGGAACCGGTTTTTTAAGTTCCGGCCGGAACCGGATCCGACCGGAACTGGAAAAAAGTTCCGGCCGGAACCGGAACTAATTTATTAAACCATATATAGTCATATGTTACTTTGTCCGCTGCCAGACAAGCAGACACTTCAAATCATCAAGTAGAGAGTTCGCAAATGTCAGAATAAAAGACTGACAAACGTTAAACGTCATAATGAAGTGTTAATAGTGTACATTTCCCTTGCGTAGTCCAACTTTCTTCCTACTGTGACCTTTTGTTAGACACAAAAACGTTTGATATTCTATCTCCCTGAAAACGACAGAGTTCCGGTTCCGGCTATGCTTTTTTTACTAGTTCCAGCCGGAACTATAAAAAATCGAGGTTCCGGCCGGAACTAACCGGCCGGAACCGAGTTCCGGTGCACCCCTAAAAATTTGTGCCACATTCTTGTGCAGTTCGTTGTCATTAATTTTAACAATGACAAAAACTACGCACCTTTAAAATAGGGAACGCTGTGTCCAAGGGATCAAATAAGACCGAATGAGAACACAACTTTAAGCGACCTCTTTGTTTTCTATTGAGAAAAGGAACATTTTACTTGAAATTTCATTATACATAGGTACCTGACTAAGGCCAAAAAAAAAAATATGTGGGTTTCCGGTTTCCTCTTGTAAAAACTTAGGTAGGGTAGGTCGGTTTTAACTTTTTTTTTAAACTTTGTTTTTAATTTTCCTAACAACTAGTGATGGGCGATACCGAGTACTCGGTATTCGATACCAGCGATACCACAAACAGCGGTATCGGTATCGATTACTGACATGGTATCGTTCGATACTTGCACCCTTTTTTAAACGACTTGTTTAATTTCACTTCTTGGTCCCCTGATCGCAGGTTAGGTTGAATTAGACTTAATGAACCACTAAAATAAGTCTTAATATTCCAAATGTGGTGCGCCAAGTCATGTATAGAAAATATTTATTACGTTTCAGGCTTTTGGTTTACATATAGCTTTATTTAGGTTACATACAGTGATATAAAATGTTTTTCCACTGACCGGCAGGTATCGAAAGTAGCCGATACTAGCAATTTAAGTACTCATTTCCGGTATCGAAAATTGAAATTTTGTGTTCATTTTGGTATCGAAATAGGTATCGGTATCGGCCGATACCAATCTTAAAAGTATCGGTATCGAATTAAAAATCCTGCTATCGCCCATCACTACTAACAACCGGACGCCATTTTGTTTAGTCAGTGCTTCCACATCCAAAAATAAATTTCCGTAATATTGCCTCAAATTTTCATTTTCCACAAACGTTTTGCTCTAAGTGGAAACACTTACAAGCGTGGTCCAATAAAAAAGTTTAGGGTCGGGATTTCGACGTCCAAAAGCTAGGTAGGGTTGGGAAACCGGAAACCCACATATTTTTTTATTTGGCCTAACTGAAATAATTTAATTTACCTACTCAAAGGATCAGATACTGTATCAAGTCTATATAATAATCCCAGACGTTATATATTTACCATTTCACTTTCAAGGGTCAAATCAAATCATAAACCTACCTTTTAAGAGCTTCATCTTCTGTTAGTCCAGCAGGATAATAAAAAACACTAAAATCTTCAAAATATATTTCACCAGGCTCTAACAATAACAGCGAAAACCTAAAATAACAATAATTAACATAAATAGCAATTGATGTGAAATTTTCATGTTTACCCAAAGCTTTTTTAACAGGTTTTAATCTAATCAGCCAATCATGTTCAACTAGCACCAGCTGAGCAAATTGAAACCTTCAAATGCTTATTAAAAACATAGAAGTCATGTGGGCATCTTGCTATATAGAACAGTTGAAGGCTTTTGTATATGGAAAGAAGGTTAGAACTCGACAACTGGACTATGTATAGCTCTGTTGGTTAGAGCGCTGTACCAGAATCACAGGGCTGCAGGTTCAATTCCTGCCAGACAGCCTATAGTTGCATTTTTTTCGCAGGTGCTTCTGGTTAGGCCTAAAATTGGATATAATCTTCCGCTCAAAAATCCACATATACAAAATGTTTTTTCCACAATTGTTTATCCTAAGATGCGATTAACACTTGGAAAGTTTGTGTCCGCAACTGATAGCTTTAGTGCGCCATTTTGATGTCCTCTATTTATTTACCATAAGATTTTCAAAAATTTGGGTGTGCAATACACTCTTTTGACAATAATAAGTCACAAATCCCTCCTTGGCCTGGGAGCCTCATTCCCACAGGTCATAAGCGAATAGCCTTTTGTCTACAGTTGATTTATGGCTCCCAGTCCCAGGTCAAAGAAGTATTGGTGTTTCCGGTCACACATGTGAAGTCGCAAACAATAGTATCTATTACTGTAACAATAATATGGAATATTTGTAACAACTAGCCAAGCCAGCTTGGAAAGTTTGTATCGTGCAACCGAGATATCGGACGTGGAATTTTCATGGTTTCTATATATTTACTATTAATTTTTTTTAATATCAAGTGCGCAATTTCCAAACTTTTCACTCAAGTAGTTTTCAAAGAATAATATGTATGGGGTTGTCTTGCAAGTCAAAGAGTACAGTACTTGTAGTCTTGTACAGTTTAATTCAATTAATTGTACTATATATGTTTATATTTGTGAATTTTTTTAAAACAGTAAGTCATAATCTAACAAGATATAAACTAGATCGTTTTGTCCCGACGCTATTAAACGTGGCAGGGTTATAATAACTTCATATGATTCTCCTTTATACAAAACAACAGATATCAATGACCGGTGACAGTGATTTACAAATCAGACAAAACCAAACAAAGATTAATGCTTCAAAGTTCAAATGTCACATCAGAGAGATAAGCAATTAAAGGATTTATATAGTTTAAGGGATTACCTTTCTTTTACAGCATCATCAGGCTGAATCAAACCACAAGAACTTTCGAATGTTAATTCGGCCATGTTTGCGAAATATTTTGGCTTGGGTGACCGAGCCTCGTTGCGTCATACTTGTAAAGACAGGGGGGAGAGGACTTTACCATCGTTTGCATAGTAAGGGTAGCTCGCGTGAAAGTTCGATATTTCTAAGGAGCATTTGATAGTCAGTTTGTCCACGGTTTGTCTTGATTTGTAACAAACCCGCAACAGACTTGAACCTTAGCCTATCGAAGGGAAGATGGCTGTGAAACTAGAATAACGAATATAACTCATTATCTATGTTAGTCAACGTTTATTCATAAATCTAGCTGGTCCTTTCACCGTCACGTGTGTATTGTACGGTGACTCTCCTCAGTAAAACATTGCTATTGGTTAGTTGGGCAAAAATACAATACACACGTGACGGTGAAGGACCAGATTTATGAATAAACGTTAACCAATAGATAATGAGTTATTATACAAATAATGAATGTTTATGAGTGCAATGGTAAGAATATTTTCATGAGGTGAAAGATGGAATGTTCCATTCAACGAGGCGACAGCCGAGTTGAATGGAACATTCCATCTTTCACCGAATGAAAATATTCTTACCATTGCACGAAGAAACATTCATTATTTGTTTTATATAATACCAAAAGTCCAGAACAGACTAATAGATTCGTATGAGAAGCATTTTGAGGGATGCGATTTATCGAAAACACAAAGAGTGCAATATCACGTGACCATAAACAGCCAATTAAACGATTAGAATTTAATAAGGTATTATATAAATTGTTATATTAAACGTTGCCCAATAGATAATGAGTTATATTGTTATTCTAATGAGTTTCACAGCCATCTCCCTTTCGATAGGCTATGCTTGAACCAATGCTGTTTCAACAATTTGTTATCAGGATGTGTTCGCGCTGCTTGTTCCCAGCTTGTTGACAAGTTGTCAACGGCTTGATGACAACTTGCTACAAGGTTGTTGACAGGGACGCCGGAACGATAATACGGCAAAGGGGGGCGGACGCACACCAAGGGCACCTCTATACAGTAGAGCCTGTTGAGAACACATCTTGTTGACAAAATGTAAGATTTTAACGACAGTACCACATTGCTGGCTGACAAACTCCCTCTAAACATGTAGATGTCACTAAACACTACCATGCTCAGATGGTGGTCAACCGTAGTTATCTGAACGAGAAAGCGTTAACTTATTATATGTATAGTAATCCTGTGTTTGGTACCAAAAAGATAAAAGAGGGATACAGTTTGCTTTCAGGAGTAAGTGTTACTAAACAGTTCCAAAGGCGTTCCATCTGTTTCACCACAATATGAAACCCACCACTCAGGACCTAGTCTAAACTGAGCTATTCATCACAGCGCGTTTAATGATATGCAAAGTTAAAATGCCAGAAACTTGCGGCAGATTGAGAAGGATACAATAACTAAAAATACAACAAAAACGTCGACGTTTCCAGAGAAGGCCCTTGTCGAGAAGTTCGTAACTTCTTCCTGTTAGTAATTTCCTTCCTTCGCTCGAAACGTCGCAGTTTCACTTGTATTTTCGCTTTTTAACGGCAATGAAGTAGGCTGGGGCTCATGGGCGTACGGGAAGGAAAAAATTAGGGGGGTGGAAAGAAATTTGCCCGAAGTCAAAATGGACAAGAAATACGCCATTCACGTCCAGTCTCCAGCGGAGTGCTGAGGAGACAAACGGCCCACCCTCCCAAGACGTTCGCGTGGGTCATATTCCTCCCTGTAGTACCTCTTGGCCAGGCTGCCCGACTGTCCCAGCTTGGCTACGCTCTGCCGATCAATAATTTGCCCAAACCTTATTTTGAGCATGAGTGATGCGTGTTCTGAAATAGATTAGTATTTCAGTTATGCAAAGTATGCGGCAATACCTGTACGTCGAGAGAATCAATGCTGTGCTTGCATTTAAAATGCAACTGATGTTCGCCACTCAACATTTTATGAAAGAAAACGAATGGAACATTAAGAAATTTACGATTACGATTAGCATTTTAGGAAATATATTGTGAATTAACTTAGCCAGCGAGCACTTTGCTTTCAGCCTTTCACCGGCCATCTGATAAACTAAATTCTTTGTGACCTGCTGTGAAAGAAATTACACGAATAAACTGAACGAATTCCATCGTGAATCGGATTGATCATGCGTGACTGCTTTTAGTGTTCAGAAAATGTTACTTTCAATTCTTTATCACTGGAGTGACATAATCAGCGCTTAAACTGACTGAGAGCAAGGAAGATTTGTAGCTCTATACAAGTATATATGTTTATCAACAATAGCATTATCTCAGATTCTAATTCCAGATTTCCAGGTAAAATTAGGACCTGTGCAAAAATGGCCTGATATACTTCAATCTAAAAGCACTAAACCGCTAGCTATAGTACAGACGCCTTCAATGGGCTGCAAACCAGCAAACTCTCGCAGGAGGAGACGGAATTTTGAAAGTTGATAAGTCCGGATTCTCAGGGCCAGGGCAAAATCCTTAAAAAACGTCCGTTATCCAAAAACATTCCGTACTCCATATCACATCATGAAAAGATTCCTCATTCCCGGCGTTGAACAATAAACAAAAAATTTCACACACTCCTCAAACAAAAGTGGAACAATATATATAATAAGTGAAACTCTCCTAAAATTTTCCCACATTAGTACAATAAAATACGAGGAGTCTGACTTCAGACATTCGCCTGCATCCATGGAAAATGACTGATAAAATATCTTCACTGATGGAACAGCGATTTGCCTCAGGTTGGAACTGGCATCTTGCAAAATATTTTATTGACAGCTGAACTCAGCTGTCATCCAATTATATAGACCTCTTATATATTTAAGACCATCTTATAGCTACACTACAGACTACAGCAGATGCTGCCAACCAAAGTAGGCTAAATATATGTAAACATTACTGAAAACAAAGAACACTTTATTTATTCGAGTCCACCATGACTATAGTATAAGGAATATATTATGTATACCTACCGACATGAGTGAGCCTCGCTGATCGACGCTTCGAGGTTAATCAATTTCTCAAAGTGGCCAAGATCCCACTTTTCGTCATTCTCTGATTTTGTAGAGGACAACCTTCGCTTAAACGAATGGACAATGTCGTCAGACTTTTCCGTCAGCAAGGCAAGTGATTCTCGTAGCCGATTCACAGTCATATCTCTGTGGAACGAAGCGAGACTCGATTAATTTACAGGGCGAAATCTGGCGTAATAGATATGCTTTATGACAAGCAAAAAATACTGCAAAGATTCTAGAAAGAGTAAATGACCGAACTGATACAAACGAACAGCATGTCTATTATATTTATGTACATATATTATGTAGTTATGTTTTTGTTTCAAGGTACAATTATGTGTATTTGTCACAAGCCGTTGTCACCAATTAACGAGCAATCACACTGCCGAGTTCGAAAATAAGCAAGCCTGTTTTCGATATCATATATTGCATGCTAGACGCAATAGACTATATTTTTGAGCTACAGCCAAGATACGTTGGAGCTTTAAAAGGGCATTTTTACTGTATCAGAACTCGTTTAATATTCTCCGGCAAATTTAACTAATCAACATGTCCACATAAACGAACACAATACGGAAAATTGTAATCAATTATTCATTTCACCGGTTTGTGGCAACGACAATGATTTTAATTTAAATGATAGTGACACTGGAATCCAACTGTTTTATACAAAAAAAATTTTTGTCTAGCGATTTTCATTATTTCCGAATTTTATCTATTGTCTATTCCCAGTCGTCTCTTCAAGTAAGAATATTATCATAGATATGTATAGGTTATTTTGAGGCAACGAGGGGATATGTGATTTATTCACCGAGGCGAGGTGAATAAACACATATCCCCGAGGTGCCTCAAAATAACGTACTTATTTTTCACATTGCGAGGTCGCGTTAATGAGTCAGAATAGACTAATAATTCTTAATGCCATTTTGCCTTCGTGATGTTGTTTTTTCTCTTTTTGTGCTGCAAAGACATTGCAGGTGAATATTAGAGGTGAATATTAGAGGGAAATTGATTAGAGGGGGAATATTGAATATATTCCCCGATAAGAACAAAGGAAACCGAGCAGAGTGAAAATAAGAGAAGCGAGAGACGCGGGCAAGGACGTGCAGCACCGCAGGCGGAAACCACGCGCAGGCGGCGAGGGCGCGGTGGTCCTTATAACCATCGCTTGTTTTCGTCAACCGAGCCATTATATACGCGGAAAAAAGTAGCATGTCTGTCAACGAGTTATGTTCGCATTGCTTGTCCCAAGTTGTCAACAAGTTTGGAACAAGCTGTTAACAACTTGTAACAACCTTGTTGATATTACTTGCAGACTTGTTGCAAGGTTGTTCCAACAAGTACCAGACTTGTTGCAAGGTTGTTCCAATTAAAATTTAAAACAGACAGAAACTGCATTAAATGAATAAAATTGGCAAAATAAATGTATGGAATTTTATATGGATTCGGCGTCTAGATGAAAGATCTTTATCTATATGAAACTCACTACTGATTTAAGTATAATTCTTTCAATGTAAAATATTTTCTGTTTCATTTCGCATTTTTATTCAGTAGTTGAGAAGTAATGTATACCAATTGAGAAATAATGGCAAGTATTTCTTACTGCACGAGTCATTAAAATAAAGGCACAAAATTTCAATTACTAATTGGTCTCTAGCTCTATTACAGAGTCGAAATATCATCTTTGAGATGTCGATACAGTTCGAAGCATATACTTCCCCAGTTTTTTTCTAATATTGCCTGCTGGTAAATGACTTTGTCACAATATTTAACATGGCAATGCGATATAACAACTGTCCATGATAATATAGACAAAGTATACCTGTTCATAAAAGTAAATATATACTGCTTTGAATTTTGTTACCTTTCCGAGTACAATTTCATCACCAACCTCCATACATTAAAGTACGTCAAATTGTTCAAAGCCATCATCTTGTTTGAAACACTGAAAAACTCGACAAACTGTTGATCATATAGCTGTAACTGCCGTGTGTATACATAGGCATGTAGCAACAACTGACTAAGAGAAGTTATATAAGCGTAACAACACAACTGAAATTTCACATGAAAACAA